AACATTTCATACTGATCTATTACATGATTTAAAGTAAGCTAATTATACTGAATAAAGCCTAATGTTGTGGTATTATAATGACATTTCAGTACAGATTATATAATTAGCTTACTTTAAATCATGTCATTATAATATCACAACATTAGGCTTTATTCAGTAACATTCCAGTACTGATCTATATAATTAGCTTACTTTAAAACATGTGATTATAACAACACAACATCAGGCTTTATCAGTTACATTTCACTACCGATTTATATAGTTAGCTTACATTACATCAATAGTCAGTAAAATACCGCAAAATGGGCCTAGTTATATTATTAATGAAATTTAATTCTTTTGACTAATTTATTTATGTAATAAGAAAGAAATTTTAATTTTACAAGGTTTTAATTGCTATTGTCTAAACTTGAGCCAATAGATGTTACGAACTTTTTGTTGACATCTTTCTGGTCTTCTCTAACTATTACTTTGAACTTGAAAGAGTCACGTAACAACAAGAAGGCATCACCTGGAAGGATCTCGATTCTATCATCCTTCTTGAGAATTTTGACCTCTCCTTCAGCTTGAGGTTGATAGAAGCAAGGATTGACATGGGTCTGATAGAAAACATTTACATCTTGACTGTTGAAAAAAACACTAACAAAGGTCAAATATGACACAATGATATATGGTTACAATCAAAATAACCACATCAGTGGCAACATGTTGAAACATTCATGGCTGTAATAATTAGTTAGATATTAAAACAGGTTAATAAATAAAAACAACCACATCAATGGTAACATGTTGCAACATTCATGGCTATAACAATTAACAGGATATTAACACAGGTTAATAAACAAATCAACCACATTAATGGTAACATGTTATAGCATTCATGGCTATAACAATAAACAGGATATTAACACAGATTAATAAACAAATCAACCACATTAATGGTAACATGTTATAGCATTCATGGCTATAACAATAAACAGGATATTAACACAGGTTAATAAACAAAACAACCACACTCAATGGTAACATGTTGAAACATTCATGGAGGTAATAATTAGTTAGATATTAAGACAGGTTAATAAATAAAAACAACCAAATCAATGGTAACATGTTGCAACATTCATACAACATGATAGAACTGGTGCAACTGTAAAGTGTGTGAATTTGGAAAACTAAAATATATGCGAGTAGAATATTCATGATGTTAGGAAAACATGTAGGTTTAAAAAAGTCTATTTAACCAAAAAATACAATACCCTATAACCCAAGTGCTTTTGATAGGTGGACCTTTCTTCTTCAGCAGCAAACTAGGAATGACCATGTAAAGCAAAGTGTGAGATAAATTGAAGTTTGAATGAGATCACGTAGGCCACCATGGAAATCCAGAAGTTCTCTAAGTAAAGAAAATCTGTTCAAATGAAATAAATTACAGAAAAAACACCAAGGATCTAAAATAAACTATGTTACAAAGAAAATATAAAGATACAAAAATTGACAGAAACATTGAAAAAGCTAACAACACTAAATAAAAACCACCCTTAAACAGTGTAATATTAAGGAAGAGCAGAAGCCTTAAAAATAATCTTGTCCATGCAAACTGAATTACAACCCATCAAAGAATGGTTTTCATCCATGTAATAAAGCTCATTATCTAACCTGTACATTTATAGAAACCACTGACTTTTTTTTTCCAATAAATATGACCATAAACACTTTCAACCTTCACAACACAAAATACCATTTATCTAACACAGTGTAAAACATACAATCATCAGTATGTATGAAACACACAAACGACTCTTAGAGAGGATTTCAACAACCATAAATCTTCTATTAGTACCAAATATATATCTCCTTGTTGCTCAATGCTTTAACCAACCTGGTCATTCTAATAATAAAGTAACTCTCATTGGCACTGAAACCAATTTCAAAACTACAGCCAATAGACAGATAAAAGAAACCTATTGGATTGCAACTTTAAATACTATTCAAGCTTGTGGAATAAATCCAGATCCTGGAATCATCAGTTTGTTCTCTGTCAGTAAAATAGTTTTTTGTACATGCAGTGTGAACGGTAACATTTTCGTACACTGAAAGTGCATTTCCAATAGATTCTTTCCTCCACTACAATCCCACCTACAATCACGTGAGGCAGCGGTGTGGTAACATGCAACAACTCTCCACCAATAGGAGCACAACACAACTCCCAGCACAGCTGACTCCCTCTATGTAACTTAGCTCAACTTCACTTTGAGACTGAGAAAAAGAAAAGACACTGGAAGTGGGGATGAAGAGTGAGAGGAGGTAGGAATCTACAGGAAATACATTTTCAGTTCAGGAAAATGTTAACTTCAGATACGATATCTTACCTCTTCTCACATAATAGCTAGAATCACATATTGACCTGATGGAGAAACCGATGTAACATTACCTAAATGACCCCCACCCAGAAAGATCCCAAAGAATGTGTGAATAAACAGTATGTAAGACCCATGGGAGACTGCACTACATCTGATCCAGGTATACTCTTTGCCCATGAAATTGAAGTGTTGCAAAAAAGGGTGGAATCACAGGAGTAATCTTATAATTTAAATGAAAAGACCCCTGGTGTAGATTGGCAGACTGTAAGGGGGAATTTGACCTCAACCAACACCAACAGTACTGTGATAGGAATATTTGGCCCATAATAGGAAGAGGGTCCTCTACTGTTCACCTCAAACAAGGCAAGGAGAACTTTTGTTCCAAGGCCCTGCATCATCATGTCAAACACAACCAACACCAGTACCCTCCAGGAACTGACATCTGGACCATGGTAGGAAGGCAGATGACAATGTGGAGGTTCAACTCCAGTCCACAACATTGGGAATAAATGATACAGTCTGTAGTAGAAGGAGGGTACCTGGTCCACTCACGTGTGAATATTATATTTATGCAGCTGGTCCAGCTCCAATCAACACCAGTATCCTTCATGAACTGATATCTGGGTGACAGTGGGAAGGAGGGTGCTTAGCCAAAGGGATGAACTGCATTGTAGTGAAAAATCATTAATTTCATAACCAAGCGGCATCTGGAGGAAAAACGTGTATTAAACATCTATACTAATAGAACACTACCACCCTACTGTCAACTGAGTGAAATTGAACACACTCAGGAGGAAGCTTCCATGGCCCTCCAACCCAGCAGCTTGGAGCTGGTAAGTGGTAAGGACTCCCCTATTTCATTGGAAAAATGTGTGTGTGACGGATTGCATTAGAGAGTCCAGAGGAATGCAACACTGGAGACAGTGCAACAGGTGACTGTGAAACCTTATTTTGAAAAGCAGACTGTTCCTAATACAGCCAAACCAAATAGTAGCAGGTATAGGCAGCAATCCCTGTATGCTTTGCTCAGATTAGTTCCTGAGTGTATAGTCTGGGGTAAACATACTTATGATGCAAAGCCACAAGAAAAACCTACAACTAGTTTTACTGAACACCCCATCTCAACAGTGGCATTATTGACCTGGTCAGGGAGCACTTGTCACTGAGCAGGATCTATACATGCAATAAAGGCCCCTGTAAAAAAAAAATAAAAAAATAATATAAATAGAGCACCTACCCACTCATAGTAAAACTGTGGAAAAGACAACAATCATCAGGAAAAAGGAAGAATAAGCCAGATAAATCAGCTGGAAAATTAAACCTGTAATGGTAATTGGAGAAATATAACAGGAAAGGGAAGAGTTCCAATGAATAAACAAACAGGAATCATGAAAGAAAGCAATGCGAGCCACATAATAGCAGAGAGCTGGGACATAACATACGAAGTAATCCTGGTCAGAATGAGGATAAAAATGAGAAATGGAAGGAAAGGAAATGGGAGTGAAGGCAAACTTGCTCCCACATGTGGCCAAAATTTTGGGCAGAAAAGATCAATCCATATGACCTGTGATATAATGTGCAGAAGATATTTAGAGTGAACAAATCCTAATGTTGATGTCCACATGTCAAGAGGAGGAAGAAAAAGGTCTTTAAATAGATATGATATACAGAACAGGAAGGCATGAGCTCAAATAGAGGAAGTGTGAAGACATGGCAAATGACACTGAGGTTTCAATCAGAGAGGGCAGTAGGGTGCAGGGGAAGGCAAAGGTAGAAGGAATGAAACAAAAGGGTGAGGACTGGTGAAATGAAGACACGGTGAAGTCTTGTGAAACAGAGAATGGCTAACAATACCATATAATAAAAAAGTGGATACCAACAGCCCTTTGTTGAAAAGCTAGGTAAGGAAGGAAGTCAGGTGCAGAAAAGTAGGATAGGATGTTGGAAAACCATGATTAGAAGACCAAGAAAGGTATACATACCACTTACACTGGTAAACTGACATCAAGAAAGGGTGCACGAAATGGGAAATAAAAGAAGCAACTTGCAGGAAAAGTCTGACCCATCTGGCAATTGACCGGACAAAAGCCACATGTGAAGACTGAGGTTGCTTGAGAACGGCAGAGGAAGAGGAGTCAATAGGAGCAGGCAGAAGTGGAAATCACAGTTGTGCTGGCCAAAGAGGCACCACCAAGAGTGGCTTGTATTACACAAGTACACAAGGAAGAAAATGGATGGAAGGATATGCATAAAGGTAATGGCCTCTCCAATCCTTATTAAGGGTATTGACCATTACAGTGAAAGGATGAGGAATAGGAAACCAAAACCTGGGAAGCTTGGAATTCAGATCAGTGGCAAATATACCCAGTTCCAGAGTACCCCACTGTGAACAAAGCCAACTGAACACCTGTGGATTGTAAGAAACATCAGTAAAGAGGTGCATCTCTGGACGAGGAGGAGAAAAATCACTCACTGTGGTGATGTCTCTGTTCAAACACAAGGCAAAGTCCACATGAAGGGAAGGAGGAGAAGGATGGATTGGGGAATCAAGGGGTTTCCAAATGAGGTTCCACTGTTCTTGTAGAGTCCATTGAAGATGTTGCATGTGGGCTTGCCCGAGGAGAATGAGGGCCTCCAAAGAAGCCCACACCCCCAAAAAAGATAGAACCTCTTGTGCAGTTGGAGAGGAAGAGGAGTCTGAATCAGAAGCTTCACAGATTGCTGGTGAAATGGAGAATGTTGGACCTAGCTGAGAAAGGAACTGAAAAATATCCAGAGATGAAGGTATTAAGTAGGAGAGAGGAAGGACTTCTTCCCCAACCAACCTACCAATACAGCTTCTTGAAGAAGAAACTAAGTGTGAAGGTAAGAGGTGGTGTGCTAGAAGTCTGTGTAATGGTGGAAACAAAAGCTCCTGAAATGGAGAGGACCAGCAAAGACTTTGACTATTTAACAAACAACATAAGGAGCTAAGCTACAACAATAAAAACAGCTCAGAATTGGTTGACACAACCTTGATGGACAAAACGATGTAAATGCCAGGATGCTGGGAAGATGGAAATGTGGAAGCAAGCATCCAAGACCTCCATCTTCGTCATCCACGGACCAGGAGTAAAAACCGATCAAAGAGATAGGTATAACTCCACATTGAATCAAGAAAGGTTGAGAAAGCAGTTCAAGGAAGGAAGATCGATGATGGGGTGCCACTACTCTGTCTTCTTGGGGACAATGAACAAACAGAAATAAAATCCTGGCTGAGAAGGATCGAACCATTCAACAGCACCCTTGTGAATAAGGCTGAAAACAACCTCGGAGAGATGCTGTATAAAAATTGGGAATGAAAGGGAATGAGGAAACAGAGGAGGAGGAAAGAAAAACAAAGAATGAACCCTTTTTGAGAGAATCCACAGAACTCAAGAGTCTGTGGTAAAACACAAAAGCCTAGACCCCCCACCAGACCTCTACTTACCACATAGTCACCACAACCACTGAAGTCTATGATGAAAAAAAAACAAAGGTTGACCTTGGAGAACTGTAAAGCAGGAACCAGTAAATGAGAAGAAGGAAGAAGATGAGAAATGGGAATTGGTTCAGATTGAGATAAATGGGAAGCCACTGAGAAAAGGGAGCGTGGCAAAGGGGCAGACTTGACTCTGGATTCTAAATTGTCAGAACAAGGGATAAAAGGGCATCCTTACCCAAAAGATCCCAACAGAGAAGCCATATTTAAAGGGAAAGGGAAAAAGAGAACAACTGTGTCAGAGTGGAAAACATCAGGGCATGATTCTTCTCCTCTGGGGAGAATTAAGGATTTCAGGCAAGTAACTGATTGAAATTTTATCAGTAAAGCTCAAGCAAAAAACATGTCTAAACACCACAATTGCCAATCAACAAGTGAAGTTGAGCTGAGCTGCATAGGAGTCAGCTGTGTTAGAAGTTGTGTCAGGATCCTATTGGTGTAGGGTTGTCACATGCTTATTTACATGCTCTCACACAGCTGCCTCACTTGAAAACATGTGAAGGTAGGTGGGATTATCAAGAC